ACAGCCACAGCCACAGCCACAGCCACAGCCACAGCCACAGCCACAGCCACAGCTACAGCCACAGCCACGGCCACACCCCACATCACACCCACACCCATCCACACCCCACACATCACACCCACACCCACCCGCCCACACCCATATCCCACACTCACACCCACACCACCCACGCTCACACCCACACCCACACCGACCCACAGCCACACCCCACACCTCACACCCACACCCACACCCTGGTTGATTTGCTTTTGGATTGTGTCCGTGCAATTGTTTTTTATGATTGACAGTTCTATATCGTCAACAATAATCGTCGTACCTCTCCGGTTTACCTCCGATTCGCCCCTGATTGGTCCCATCCCCTATTCGTCCCGCTCTGAATTTTTCCTAATTCGTCCCTTTCTCGTTTTTCAGTCACTCCTAACTCGTCCCTAATTGTCTATCAATCAAAGGGGTGTGGGTGCGGGTGAGGGCGTGGGTGTGTGAGTATGGAACATAAAGGTTACCAACACCCACATCCACACACCCCCGCACCCACAGCAACACCCACCCACACCCACACCCACACCCACACCCACACCCACACCCACACCGACACCCACACTCAATTCAGCTCTTAAGAAAATAGACCCAAATGCTTATACTTTGAAGGAAGTGATGGAGCAGGAGGTTTTTCGAGGCGGTGAGTTCGAATCTGAGGTCCATTTGCCTCGAAATCTGATTGGCTCTTTCGAAACCGATAGGAACCCAGCTCTTAGAAAAACAGCCAGACAGTTATATTTTCAAGAAAATGATGAGGCAGGGGAGGTTTCGAGGTGGTGAGTTCGAATCCGTGATCCATATGCCTCGAAATTTGTTTGACTGTTCGGCAACCAATAGGAGTTCAGCTCTTAAGAAAAGAGGCCCGAACGCTTATACTTTCAAGGAAATGATGGGGCAGGAGTTTTTCGAGGCGATGAGTTTGAATCTAAGATCCAATCGCCTCGAAATTTGATGGGTTGTTTGGAAACCAATAGAAACTCAGTTCTTAAGATAACAGATGAAAACATTCATACTTTCGGAATATGATGGAGCAGGTGGTTTTTCGAGTAGGTGAGTTCGAATTTGAGGCTACTTCGCCTGGAAACCTGATTGGTTGTTTGGAAACCAATAGGAATTCAGCTCTAAAGAAAATAGACCCAAACACTTATACTTTCAAGGAAATGATGGGCCAGGCGGTTTTTTAAAGACAGTCATTTCGAATCCGAGGTCCATTTTCCTCGAAATGTGATTGGTTGTCCGAAAAACCATAGGAATTCAGCTGGTAGAAAACCAGCTAATCAAAATTGGGTTCTCAGGACAAAAGTTAGGTAAGGGCTTCCAGAGGCAATGAGTTCAAATTAGGGATCCAAGCATTGAATGTGAGTGTAGGGTAGGGAAACGAGTATCCTCTTCTGTTTATATAAACAACAATATTTGTGTGTTTGTTCTTTGTGCATTTGATTTCGGTAATAACTAGCGCCATCAAACTTTCCATGCTATACCGCTTAGTCAAGAGAAAAATTGAGACTATATTGGTGCGGCAGACGAAGAATAGAAAGTAATTGGGTGTTATTTTACCCAGGTTGTGAAAATCGAAAATTCTCTGATCTGTATGTCTAATGTACGATAAGAAAAAGAATTTGTATATAAATCTTTTTTCTGACTCAAAATGATGGCACATTAGTTTCTTTTTCGTAACTCAGAAAAATGATGGATTAATTCTTTTCCTGACTCAGAATGATGACTTATTAGTGTCATGTCGATTGGCCGTGATATATATCTTGATGTGGTGTTTTGGGCACTCTTTCTTTTCTTGCACATCGTTTCATTTTTTATATACGTTAGTCCTTTTTTTGGCTCCTCTCATATTCTTTCCTTCGCCTTTTAGTATTGATATACATATAAATAGGAGAAGATTGGGACGCGATGGATTGGAAAACAATATGCGTGGAAGAGAGATATACATATCGGGTACTTCCGCTAGTAATAAGAATAGCTTCAATGTAAAATGGTCACTAAAGGTTTCATATAAAAACGTTGTCGTTACAATTCCTGCAGAATTCAATTAGGAAGCACAATCAAATTGCTGATGTTGTAAAAGCAGGTCTTCGTTAAACTATACTTGAGTTAATGAATAGAAATTTACCATTTACTAAATTACAATGATAAAGGTTACTAATCGCAATGCATTGTAGTAATTATGAAAGAATAATAAATGATAACTATCATACTAATCCTACTAGGATTCGTAGATCGTTTTACGCAAATCATTGTTGCTTTTTTCCTATATGCAGATGGCTGAAAGGAATCGTAAAGGTTTTCAAAACATTCATCAATACTTCATCTAAGAAGAACAAAAACAAAACAGAAATTTCGTCGACATAAACAAATTTTTCGGTAAAGATTTATGACACTGAAAGTTGCACAATCGATGTTCGTTCTCTTCATTGCTTATCGATGTTGCGCGCAATTCTGAAATACGAAAAAGTTATCAAGCTACATTACAAAATTACATTTGCATGCACGTTGTGAAATGAATGGGACTTTTTGACGCATAATAAGATAGACAACTGCTTTGTTTGCTTCGTTCTCAAGGACGCATATTCAGCTTTCATGTGTATATGTAATAACAATCACAATAAGGTATTGTCCAATATGTTTCATTTAAATACTGTGTCTTTTGCTCATCTTGTCAGTAGCTTATTTTTGCGATATAATGAGTCTATCTTTCAAGCCACAAAATATAAAAGCTTCTGCAATGAAGCGAATTATAAGGTATAAAGAAACATTAATGAGTGAATTTTATACATGGATCCAAAAATTTTTTTTTAGAGATTTGAGAGATCTCGACAAATCTCCAGTGCCTGGACTCGGTGTTTGCTGCCCTGATGAATCGAATCCGTTTGTTTTACATTGCAACGTATGTAGTTCAGTATATAGTTGAGTCATGTATGAGAATAGTTGAACTTTTATTCAGGTATTAATCAATGATGGACCCTATCGTGGAATTATGATTCATCTGATTCTTCATATTCCAGAGGATTATCCGCTGACAGGTCCTGCTGGAAATATAGCACCTGGTTTAGAATTTGATTCTAGCTATCATCTTCATATTCATACAGACCACAGGTAAAGTCGAATTTGACCCCATGATTGATAGTGAAATGTTATTTTTGCGGTTTTCCACTTTCAGAAATGGACATTCTTTATGCAATGATCTACTGACGAACTATGCCTCTTACTTTCGCGCTATTGATGGAGGTACTATCCAAAAGCTAGTGGCTGGAGGTAACAGAACTAATTGTAGATATGTTTGATCTTTTTAAGTGATTTTCTCTCGTATTTGTAGTCCTGGGTACAGTTTATCAACTGCACTCCTTCAAATCATCACGTTTTTTGCAGATCCAGATTTTGGTTATCAACCCTCTGCGGAAAGCATCGCTCGTCTTCGCACAATGGTTAAAAATTTTACATGTAAAACATGCAGCCATACTTTTGCCAAGTCAAATCCATCTATAGTCCATTATACCGAAGAGCAATCAAATAAACGACCAGTAAAAGAAGAAACCATATCTAACGAAGAGGAAGAGCGATTGAAATCGGAACGTGCACATTTACAATTGCAGCGTGAACTCATGGAAAAATTAACATGCGGTGTAACAAAACAAAATGCTATTGAAGATAAAATTTGTGTTGGTTATCCATTATTGATCACACGTGATCGTCGTGGACGACTCTGGTCAGAAATCATTTTAGAACTTATTTCCTATGATGCATATGTAGCAGAAATACAAAGATCGGGTGGAGAAAAATTAGATTTTTATGAAAATATGAAATTCCGTTCTGTCACAGGAGCAGATTATAATCATTGGTTGCCATTGTATATTAATGCTGATCATTTTCGGAAGGGTCAAGCGATTATTCAAAATAGTATAAGTGTCATTCATAATGGTACTGCAAATGGTAGTGCAAGATATGATTTCACTCCGTCTATGGCATTAAGCGTTTTAACTACCTTAATGAATAAATCGGCTGTTCGACTATTTAATGGTCAAATGTTTGAATCGAAACAAGCTATCGAAGCATATTGTCATTTCTTACGGTTATTGATGCATTTTATTGACATGTATCGCTTATTAGGTAGGATAAAAACTATCTAAGAATTTGTTACAGTATATCGTTTCATGTTTGATATTTTGTCTATTCAGATGTAAAAATCAATAAGACTGGAAATTTTCGCTACATGCTTAGCTGGTCGTAGTAAAAGATCAGTGCCAGATATTGGTGAATTTTTGATACAAATGGCATTATCAAAAAAATATAAGTTCAATGATATCAAAACATATGTCTACGAAGAATATTTTGCACGACAAATCTTTTGGATTCAACAAAATAGTACAATTCAAAACTTGTTGGATATAAAAACTACAGATTTACCCCAAATATTTCAAGCAGTAAAAGTATCCAATCATCTGTTAGTATTTAATTTGGAAATGGCTGAAACATTTATTTTTCCTGGCGTAAAAGAGTAAGTATCTTCTGTTGATTTAATCATTCGAAATCGGACACTAAGAATCATCTTCTAACTGTTAGAATTGCGCTCGTCTTATTTTAACAACACTAAAACTTTGAACTATACTATATTGTGCGTCTTTCATTTAGACATTTGGATCGATTACATGGTCATTCACCTCCAATTGTTGTTGAAAAATTCCAAAACCGCTTAAGAGCTATCAAAGCAATAGATAAATATAGTATTTTCATTGACGCTATACAACTGACTGACACGATTAAATCGCCGAATGATATGATTGATTTAATAAAACGTTCCGTACATGTATCTAATAAACAAGGCTACACCAATATAGTATCAAATGGTTAGCAACAATATCAAAGATACAGTGAATTAAAATAGTAAAATAACCTCGACACAATGCTTTCTTATGTAGACGACGAAGTAGTTATTATATATGTTTCATTAAACGTGTTTATATTAGTGCATATGATTTCTCAATCGATTTTTTTGCTTTGGATTTAATAAAATATCTAAATATTGATCATTGGAAAAACTTTCGTAAATAATCTTTCAACTCGAATCAGTTTTAATCAGCGGGTTCATTGATATTTAATATCTACATCTAATTTATTTTATTTAAAAAAAATTGTCAAATATTAACAAAAGGCTGACTCAGCAAATAATCTATGTAATTATATGACAAGAGGTTTTTATAAAACTCAATATTGTCGTATGTGCGTCGCATTTGTTCTTGAATAATTTGACGTTATTCTTCTGCACCAAAATTGTTTTAACTCTTCTATTTTAACCACAAATACAGTATAAGAATATTGTGGCGAAGGCGATACTGGATTTTACTTTTAACTCCCGAACCTTTACAGTATTTCACAAAAATTGATGATAAATCAAAATAAAATTCGCCATCAATTAAGAAATTTACTCAAATACTGATAAATAATTATTTGAGTTTATTGTGGGTATGGGTGGGATTCTATGAGAAGAACAGATTTTTCCCACATCCTAAACTGATGACTCTTTTTTTATTCTAAAATAATCTGGATATTATACTAAGGAATATTTTTGCGATATCGTTCTGACTGCTTACATTATCAAATATTAAAGCCATGCAACTAGAGATGTGGGTGTGGGCGCAGGAATGATAACACTCACACCCACACCCACCCTGTATTTCATGCTAAGTCATACCGGACAACATTGTTCCTGGAGATTTTTACACCATTTTGTAACATTTCAAAAGTACTATCAAATCATAAAAGAGTTGCGTTAACTGATCAACACATTGATATATAAAAAAGTTGATTTTTGTCAGTAGTCCGGTTTCATATATATACGATAACGATTAAGTATGTCACTCGACCTAGAGACACTACAACAAGGTCAGATAGTAACCATTTCACTAGAAATCAATTTTTGACATCCTGTGCGAGATTTTTATATAATATAAACCAAATTTCTCGAGGAATCAATTTCATCGCGTATAATCTGCCTCCTTTCATTTCTTTATCTAAGAACAAAAATTTCAACAATTCTACAGTCTATTTTTTTCTAACCGATGAAAACGTATCCATAATTTAAAAAACTATCGGATATCAAGAGAATAAATATTCTGCTCAATTATCATCTGTCTGTAGCCATTGTGAAATGTCAAATGATTAACATTTTAAGTGGGAAAATACAAACAGAGCAAAAATAACTGAATATGCTTCGTTGTTTTTCCTATTTCGTATAAACATATAGGCAAAGTGTATCACTATTGACATTCTTACAGTCTCAGAGGCCGCGAGTGTTACTTTTGCGAACTTCACTCACACACAAAGGTTTCCATAGAGGCATATTCGCTGAAAAGTAAAAGCTATTTGTTATAGCATATACCAAAATTCTAAAGACTTTCAAAGACTATCATACTCTCTAAAAAAAGTGCCATAGGGACCCCTTAAAGGTTATGGCGAAGACTCTTGACCTTTTATGATCATAGATTTGGATACCAATTTATGAACCTTTTTTTCGGTTCTAACCAAACAGTCTAGAAATTAAAAAAGTTTTTAGCTAAAAAATGTAGAACTTCAAACAGTTCAGACTCTTTGGCTAGAACTAAAAAAGGTTCAGTCGGACAGCTTCCTTTTACAGAGTAGACCCATAAAGACTCTCAAAAACCGGTATAGATGGCCATAGGCTCCCAAAATCCATCCGTATTGAAAACTAGAAGGTATATATTATGTAGTATACTGTAAAAAATAACGGTAGAATAATAAACCCTCATATATCCTTTGAAGAAGCATTTTTTATTTTACAGTTATTTTTTTTTTACAGTGTGCATATTTGAATAATGTAAAGATTCTCAACGATTTCGACTACATGGCGGTAGAGGGTCTCGCTGAAGCTCAAGAGCAGTACCATCGATACATGCGTCAAACAAATGAACCACCTATCCTTAGTAGTTAGCAGCAGCAACAGCATTCAAAATTTGATCGCCATGTAGAAATGGAGAATGCGATGAAAAAAAATATTTTAATTAAAAGTAAGAAAAGCAAATATAAAAAAACATAGGATTAGCATTGATACAACTGCCATATGGACTATGAAACTTAATCTTTATATTTTATATGAGTTTAATAATACACTGATTAGGAATAGACGGGATATTATTTTGATTTCCTTGATATAAAATAGGCTTATTTTTCAAGCGATAAATAAATAACAATCAAACTCTTCTTTGTCGAAGTATAGAAAAAAACATTTTTCTTTTTATTATATTCATTTTATTTTATCTGATTAGGACGATCAAAATACATCTAATATTCTGGTACTATTTGCTTTTATTGACAAAAGTTTTGATGAAAATAATATTTACAATAAAGGAAAATATTGATGAAAAGTTTTTGGAGGAACAAACGGGTTCTTTACCTAAAGACTGATCAATTTACTACAAGTGAGATGGGTGTGGGTAGGTGTGCGTGTGCGTGTGGATATAGATGAAGAGAAGATCCCTACACATACCAACATCCAAATTCACCCTCGAGTTGAATAGCAAAAGATGAAAAATAAAAATGCTGTGGACTATATTTTCGTGTATAGTAGTTATTGTTTGTTTGGCATAAGAGTTGTACCTTGAAAATAATTTTTTTCCGAATTTATTTGTCAATTTTGTGATCAAAAAGTTTGAAAATTTTTTAAAATTTGATCACTGAAATGATTAGTTCTAGGATAATTGCAGAAGACAGAATTAGTGGGTCCTTCGCTCAGCAATCAATTTTGTTGTTTTTCGTCGGATTTCAACTTAATTTTTTAGAGAATATGAGTCTAGGCTAGGAGAGAATTTGGGTGAAATATCTCCCCCAAAACTCCAGTATACTAATGAGTTACAGTCAATTTAGTGGTAAAAAGTACTCTGTACGCGGGCAGGATTTTCGCAATGAAGACTGGGAGTTGACAGGCTAGGGTGGTGTCTAGGTTGTAGAGTGCCCCTAGGGCTAGTTCGTGACAGAGGCCGATTTTTTAATTTTCCTTCTTTTGTTT